CAGTCGGACATCTCCAGATGATGCTGACAGGTGAGCTCAAGTTACTGATTATGACTTATATAATGTCATTATGATGAGAACCTGACCGCTACAGGTTTATCCCAGCCCCTCCCCATAAATGAGGAGAAAAGAAAATGGATGAGAGCACATTTTGCTTAGATATTTTCACACGTTTCCTTTTCTTCAGTTTTTTTTTTTAGTTGGGCAGGGTGGGCTGTACTTGCTTTATGGTGGTTTGACTTGATAGAGAAAAGGGTAAAACTACAACCACACAGAGAAACATTTATATTTACCACCAGGATTATGACATGACTTGAAGTCAACACGTTAGATAGCAGAACTTTTTCTGACAAACATGAGTACTTTTTATTGAAAATATTTCTGCTCCAATAATTGTTCCTAGATTTCTTCCCATCAATGCCGGGTGTTTGTATATATGGCATTGCCATTTCCACGTTGGGTTAATTTTTGGTGAAAATTTTAGCTTTCTATTCTTCAAATTAGCTTACCAACTTTCTGAAACTTGTGAACGGAGAACATGACAATTGACAAGTGTCGATCAAAAAGCTCCTTGCGAATGTCGTTGACCTTGTTAGTGATCTGGTCATCCATGCAGCCTAAAACAGGGGCTGTTGGTTTCCCTGGATGAAGTTAGTGAAAAGCTTATTGGGTCACGACTTACCTTCGGAAGCTTTAATTCTACAGTCAAAAGTCATGACTTTTGACGTTCTCTTATTCCATGCAAAGCTTTAATTCACAGTCAAAAGTCATTTGACGTCCTCTTACTCCGTGCAAATTTTTGTGGCAGATATCACTCTCGTAGATCTCGATCACGTGAGATTGGTCACACTAAAAGTTCAAGAAATTACTCAGAGGATTACTCTCGGAGTAGTAAACGCCAAAGGCGACACACAACTGCCGACAGGAAGCATCCGGAACTTCCCGATGCATCAAATCCTAAAAAGAAGCAGCAGAACAGCAAGAATGGAAAATCGGCATCTCAAAATGGGAATTTCAATCGGGTAAGCATACACGAGACTGACTTTGATGAAAAGATGCATTTCAACAGAGACAAAGACGACTATGGACATAGACATTCAAGTAGGAAGACAAGGCACAAGAACAATGTGTCTACATCCTCGGACGACCGCTGGTCGGATGATGATAAGAGAGAAAGTGCACATACTCACAAGAAGCAATCTCTGATGGCCGATGGCTCTGAGGAATCTGAAGATAATAATTCCAGCCGACAACCCAGTCGTAGATCAAAGCACTCGAGCACTAGAGATCGTTTGGGCAGAACGCATGGGGAAGACGAGAATGACAGCAGAAAATTTGGAAACTCCTGTGGAAGCTATAGATCTTCTGATTCTAAATCAAGATCCAGAAAAGATAGTGTTAAAAAATCGGAATGCGGTGGGTCCAAGAGTGAATTTGGCGATCACCCCGAGAAATCAAAAAGAAAGAGATATTACGTGTCTAACTGTGACGCGGCTAGTGATGTTAGAGGCCGTTGGGAACCCAATATAAGCGACTAGGGAGGGCCGGAGAACGTGAGTACTGATGAGGTGTTTTCACCCAGCATGAGTATAAAAATTGGATCAATATGGAATAAACCAGGAGGAACTGGATTTCTGTTAACATGTTGAAGCAAGTCGAAAAAATAACCACTTTGAGGTGAAAGCACACATGAGCTTTGCGAGTTGAGAATACTCACAAAGTGGTGATGCTGGTTTTGGGTGGTAGATGAGATGTTAGAAAAACGATTTTATGATGTTTTAGCATGGAAAAAAAAATGCTCGCACATGATGTTTGGTTAGGATGCTTGTGATTTTATTTTATGTTTTCTCTTATGTAGTTAACTTTGTACTCCTGTCGATTAAATACAACTTCATACTCCGAATGATAGTAGGGATTTTATTTTATAGTCTAAGATTTTTTTTTTTTTTTTTTTTCCAAAACGATAAACCGATGCATTAATCTCAACCGAAAATACACAGTCATACAACTGATTACATGCCAATATCAACCAGGGTTGATAAATGAGAAGAGGATAATTCCCCACCTCCCTGGTAAAAACATAACCTGCACTTAACTAAAAAGAGGATGACCAAAACATTAAAAATAGAAAACCTAGAGACAAGAAAAGAAAACTAAAAGAGTAGAATCTAACACTACAGAACAACAACCATCTTCTCCACAGCCTTGATAAGTCTGTTTCCTTAGTAGTGCAATCACTTGAATATAGAGCACTGACAGATAACTCAATATGTCCTACCCTAAAGAAAAATTTTCAGATCATTGACTACCAGGATTTCCTTCAATAACAGCAACATCCATCTCTTCCTCTTTCCTTCCACTTTCCAAGATCCGATTAAATTCCTGCCATTCAGTTAGAGTTTTCTTCACCACTATCTCTTCCCCCACACACACTTGTTTTTCAAAGCCACCAAAGAAGGTAACTTGATAAGCTTATCCTATCTTTAATGACTTCAGTATGATGAGCACACAAGATTTCCCGCCACCAGTCTTTGAAAGAAGGTTTATGCACATTAAGTTTATGCCAATCAACACCCAACAATTTCCAACACCTTCTTGCTCTCTTGCAGCCAAAGATATGTGCTCTTAATCTTCATCTTCCTCACCACTATGCTTGCAAATAACATCTAATTCCATCCCCTTTCCCTGCAGGTTGAGATTTGTTCCCAGGAATCCATACCAAGCCTTCCAAATGAAATTTTTTTATCTTGTTCTTTTCCACATCTTCTCTTCCTGTATCTTGCTTCTGCTTGATCCAGCTACTGAGTTCTTGGTTATATGCTTCTCAATCAAAATATCATACAGAGATTTCACTGTGAATTGCCCACTCTTATGCCAATGCCAAATAGCTCTGTCAACTCTGGAACATTTCTTCAAAGGAATTTGTAGGATCTGTCTAGCCACTGTAGGGTCAAAGGTCTGAAATATCATCTCAGAATCCCAGGATTTACCCTCTACCCTAATAAGATCACTCACCCATCTAATCCTAGTTCTATCACTCTCAAAATAACATTCAGGTTTAAACAAAGGAACATTAGGAATCCAAGGTGAGTCGCACACATTAATAGTAAAGCCATCTCCCACCTCCATTCTAAAACCTAAATTCAACGCATCCCTAGCCCCTAGCCAACTACTCCACATCCACGAGTCCCCACTCTTTTTTTTTTTTTTTACTGAAAACAAAGATTCTTTATGCAGGTATCTACCTCTCAAAATCCTACTCATAAGCAAGTTAGGTTGGGTCATCACTCTCCATAATTGGTTCCCCAATAAAGCCTGGTTTAAAACCTTAAAATTTCTAAACCCCAGCCCCTCCATTAATATAGGCCTAGCCACCATATCCCACCCAGCCCAATGAACCCTCTTACCCCCACTCTCATTCCTACCCCACCAATAATCAGCAAGATCCTTGTTCAGATCATCACAAAGGGTCAAAGGCATTTTAAAACAGGACATGACATATGTGGGTAAGGACCCCAAAACAGTCTTGATTAAGACTTCCTTGCCAGCCTCAATCAAAAGTTTATATTTCCAACTTCCCACTCTTTTTTTAACACTTTCAAGAATAAAATTAAATGTTTGTTTATTGGATCTGCATATCCCCAAAGGGAGGCCAAGATAATTAGAAGAATTAACACATGCTACTCCAAGAAACAGACCACATATGCTGGCTTTGACCACTAAAGGAGTATTTTTGGAGAAAAGATGGAAGATTTCCCCAAATTTACCTACTGACCAGAAGAAGCCCCATAAACCTCCAAATATTCAAAATGGTTTGGGCATGAAAATTATCAGCAAAACAAAAAAGGATAGAATCGTCAGCAAAGAAAAGGTGAGACACAGAAGGAGAGTGTCTACTATTTTAAGCCCTTTGAAAGACATATGCAAGCTAGCCTGGAATAAAAGATTAGAAAAAGCTTCAGAAAGTAATATAAATAGATAAGGGGACAAAGGGTCTCCCTGCCTAATCCCCCTAGAAGGCATAGAATACCCCAAAATTTGCCCCTCAATATTAAATGAAAAAGAAGTAGTACTAATACAAGAAAAAATCCACTGGATGAAGGTATCACAAAATCCTTTTTTTTTAGAATAAGAAGGAGAAAAGACCATTCAACTCGGTCATAGTCTTTAGCCATATCTAATTTCACTACCATAAATGTTTTCCTTCCCTTTTCTTTTATTATTAAGGAAGTGAATAAATTCATTGGCCAAAACTACATTATCTAGAATTTGTCTCCCTGGGACAAAAGCAGACTGGGAGATAGATATACATTGATGCAAAACAGATTTCAACCTATTAGCAATCACCTTAGCAATCACTTTATAGGTCACTGAACAAAGATTAATAGGCCTAAAATCTGAAACACTAGTATCAATAGAATTTTTGGGGATTAAAGTGATAACAAAATGATTAGTCCCTTTGGGCATTTGACCACTCTAAAAAAAACGTTTTTATACCTACAGAAAAATGATGATTGATAGTCCCCCAAGACTTCTGAAAAAATAATGGAGTCATTCCATCAGCCCCTGGTGCTTTTAGTTGCTCCATACCCATAACAGCCTCATGAATTTCACTATCCTCCACCATCCTCACAAATATCAGGTCCATATCATGACTGATTGACTGTGAAATGCCTTCCAAACTGCATCATGTTAAGTCAGGGTTAGAAGATTTAAAGAGATTATCAAAATATCTTTCCACCACCTCTACTATCTCTTTAGTATCCCTACATCTCAGCCCAAAAGAGTTAACTAGATTCCCCAAGCTATTTCTACTTCTTCTTTGTTTCACACTAGCTTGAAAGAATCTAGTGTTCTTATCCCGAAGCTTAAGCCACTGGACCCTGGCCTTTTGACTGTAGAATCTAGTGTTGCGAGGCACCTACATCCAATTGGGCTCAGACAAGAAATGGGTTGACTTCAGGTATGAATCTCTCCAAAACTTTTACTTTTACTGTGGTATGATTGGTCATGGTTATAAAAATTGCCAGACCAAGGTTGAGGATGTTGCTAGTAATGTGCTTAAGTTAGGACAATTTGGGGATTGGCTTAGGGTTAGCCCTTCCCAATTATCTTCTTTTAAAAGCTCGAGCCAAAGTGTAGGTCTTAGCCATACTGTTCAACCCAACTCTCAAAAAGCCTCTAACCCAGTGTCTGATAGTAAGGTGGATGGGGAGTGTAGCAAGAACCCTATGGAAGGTGTTAAACCTTTATCTGTTCTTGAGGAGGATTTAGGTTTAGCTGGGGGACAAGGGGGTGGTCAGGATATAAGTGGTAATAGTAGGGAAGATATTACTCCACTGGGTGATTATCAATCTGAGAATAATCTGGTGGAGGTTAACGTCCAAAATGCCTCTGTTGATAGCAAGATAGGACAGAGGAGGAAAAAGATAGTGGTTAAGAAGAATAAACGTAATCTAGAGATCATCCAGGAAAACATGGAAGTGGAGAGTTCTAAAGTTAGTGGAGAGGGACAGGATGTTGGGAGGAGAGGCTGTAAGAGGCCTTTGATAGATGAGCAGGACTGTGTTAGAATAGTCGAGGGTAATGATATAGGTGGCAAAAAACAGAAAAAAAGAAGTTCAAATCAAATTTTCAGAGGTGGAGGAAACCATCCCTAACTGGTCCCAAGGTTTTAAATGAAAGTATGTGTGGAATTGTAGAGGTCTGGGAGGACCCTCTACAATTTTCCAGTTAAAGAGAGTTATAAAAACTCACCTTCCTGATTTTGTCTTCCTTTCAGAAGTTAAGAAAAAAGAATAAATTTGTTACTACTGTGTGTAGAAATTTAAAATTTGATAATAGATGGTTTTTTGTTGATCGGGGGTAAAGGGGGTATGCTTTTGTATTGGTCTTCTAATGTCTAGATTATTGATATTATGTGATTAGACTTTTGTATTGAAGTGCAATATAGAATTGTAGGGAGTCAAGAGATTCTATAGGGTATATTCTTATATGCCAGTACTAATGCTGGAATAAGGATAAGCCAATGGGATACTCTCATTAGACATAGGTTGATGTGGGGTAGATTGTGGTTTGTAGCTGGTGATTTTAATGACATTCTGTCTAGTCAGGAGAAGAGAGGGGGTAGATTTAGAGATCTTGGCAGCTTTAAGGTGTTCATGGAGTTTGTTAGTAATATGGATATGAGAGAAACCAAAACCTTGGGTCATGAATTCACCTGGACCAATAATAGAACATGGTCTGATTTTATTAAAGTTAAACTGGATAGATTTTGTTCTGAGCGGTTGCCGGAGTTGCTGAATAAGCCTCTTCCTCCATCCCCTGTCGGCTAGTGGTGTTAGGCGGCGGGGGTTTTGGTTCCCCCGGGCTCGACTAGTGGTGTTAGGCGGTTTCAGGTGGGGCTGGTGGGGGAGTTGGTTTTTGTTTTCTCGATCGAATTTGGGTCGATTGGGGGATTGGTTTCGACTACTGTATAGACAGTTTGCAGTTTCGGTAGTAGTTTCCCGGGCTTGGAATCATTCATGAGTCGATCGTTCGTTGTTGGTTGTGACGATTCGTTTGCTGGGGAAGGGCTTTGTGTGTTTTTTTGTTTCCGTCATTTTCTGTTTTGTATTGTTTGTGTTGCTTTGTGTTCATATGTGTGTTTTAGGTCTGGGCTGTTGGCCTCTGTGAGCTCAAATGTCAAATTTATTATCCTGTTGGGATCCGACACTCGGTATTACTCCAGTTGGGGTCTTTTTAGTTGTTTTTGTTGTGTGTCAGTTTAGTTGCGAGTGTTTTTATTCTAGCGTTGCTAGCGGGGTTTCTAGGCTGGTCTCCTGACCTGTCCTCCTACTTTTTTCAGTTGTTGGCTGCTGTGTATTCAGCCGTTGGCTGCTTTGTATTTACACATTTGTGCGTTTTGTGTTATAATATTATCTGTCGTTTTGGAAAAAACAAAAAAAGTAATGTGTTTAACTAAGGATTTGGGGATTCTCTCGACATGAGAGCAAATCCTCTCGGGTGAGAACTAATTCCTTCATCTGCAGGTACGATCCCTCCCCATCGAGGTTTTAGTGCTTAATTTCAGCTTATTCTCTCACTTGATCTTAATCCTTTTATAGGTCTCTTTTGGGTTTTTTGAGGGTTAGGGTTGCAGCTTGTTTTTCCTCCCTTTTCCGTCTTTACAGGTCCTCCTTTTGCTTCATTGATTTCATCCTGCTAGCCTGTCAGTTCTTATGGCAGAAGACATTACGGCAAAGCTTGAATCAGTCCAACTCTCGGAGTCTGAGAATGCTACTATTGGGATAAGATCAGATGATATTATTCACAGCTCAGAAGAATGTTCTCGAAGCTTATTTGGCAAAATCATTGGCCAAAAAAAAGCCAATTTGGTCGGATTACGCAGGGCTATTGGGCAAATGTGGCAAATAAAATCCTCAGTCACAGTTAAAGAAATTAAGCAGAATTTCTTCCAATTTGTCTTTGCTGAAACAGAAGATAAAATCAAAGTGAGCAAAGGCCTCAACTGGACATTTGAAAATCAGCTCCTACTGCTTAAAGAATGGTCGGAAGGAATCTCGGCTGATCATCCCTGCTTCCACGAAGTTGAGATGTGGGTCCAAGGGTGGAACATCCCAATCCACTGGATATCGTATGAGGTTGGTCTGAAACTGGGTAGCGCTTTTAAGAAAGTCCTGGATGTGAATGTGCCTCAAGGAGGTCCTTTAGCTGGGAAGTGTATAAGGATGCTTGTTATTATTGACACTAATAAACCCCTTCTCAGATGCACCAATCTTCAGCTCGAGCAGAAGAAAATACAAGTTCTTTTTAAATATGAGAGACTTGTTAACTTTTGCTTCTATTGTGGATGCTTGGGACATACTGATAACAACTGCGATGAGAGATCGACAGACATTGCTGAAGGCAGAATATTAGCAGGGAGATATGGGAACTGGCTTAAAGCTACAGAGATATCTCACTATGCCTCTTCATACTACTCTCTCAACATCATCTCCGATACCGAAAATACCTGTTCATCCCCGAAACCAGTTCACCAAAATACAATTATACCCCAAACTCTTACCAAACCTCCTCTAGAAAACCTGCAGCCAGAACCCTCTCGTTCCAAAGACCACACTTCTGATTCCCAAACAAATTCTTCTACCCCTCAAACTTCTAAAACCATCCCTCCACAGCAAATCCAAGTTCAAAATAATCCTTCTAACCAAGATATGGACACAGAAACCTTAAGCTCTCCAGAGCTTGAAATAGTTATATCTGACCAGAGTAAGAACCCTCTCTCCCAAAATGAAATTAAAAACAGAAGCAGGGGCTGGAAGAGAAAGCCTAAAACAGTTATCAAAACCCAGAATCAATCTTCGACTGATCCTCTCAGTAGGAAGAGACAAGTGCCAGATCTCTCAAATCAAATTTGTTATCAAGAGGAACCACAGTTGACTGAAATCACCAAAAGGCAAAAAGTGGAGACAAAAGAGGTGTTGGAGGCCAGCCCCAAATGGCCCCACCATGACCAATGAGAGCTGCGGTGTGGAACTGTAGAGGTGTGGGTGGCCCCTCTACAGTTCCCCAGATCAAGGAGATATGGAAGCTCCATCACCCCCATTTTGTTTTTCTTTCGGAAACCAAGAAAAAAAATCCCTTTATTAATACTATCTGCAGAAATTTAGGTGTTTGTAACCAGTGGAGTTCTGTGGAACCACAAGGCAAGAGTGGTGGGCTCCTTTTGTTTTGGGACAGCAATGTCCAAGTTTTCCAAATAATTAAGCACAACTTTTGCATTGAAGTGGAGTTTTGGGATGAATCTCAAGATAAAACCTGTTGGGCTATTTTTGTGTATGGTAGCAATGATAAACAAGAAAGACAGCATCAATGGGAGTATCTCATATCAGCCAAGCAGAAGTGGGGTAACTACTGGTTCATGTCAGGCGATTTCAATGACATTTCGAGTCCTCAGGAGAAGAAGGGTGGCTTAACTA